GAAACTAGAGCTTTGTCAACAGTTCCATTTATTTTTAAACAAATAATCCTTTCTAAAAATGGTGAAAGCCCTGGGTTGCACCCACAAATCCTATTGCCATACTCTGGGAAAACAACAGGAATTGCTTTTGCAGCCCAGGCAGGACCACTTCTGTGTTGGTGTTGTACAGAAAGTCATGGCCTTCAAGACAAAGTGTGCAGGGCACAGGGGCTGCTGGCTCTGTGTGTAAGGTGAATGACACTGCTCAGGAGGCAGGTGACAGGAAGGAAATGAAGGTTCTCAACACCAGAAGAAAAGGCCATTTCCCCCTCTGTAATAAATACATGGCCCTCTTTGAGTTAGGAAGGTTATATGGTTGTAGGTAATAAAAAGTGGCTCAGGAGTCATTTTGATGCGTTAACTGCTACAGATGTGGAATGTTTGCTCTCTTTTTTCTTTTTTTGCACTTGTTTCCAGCTCCTGCGCCAGCCCGACACCTCTCCATCCTTGCATCTGGTACTCTTTTATTTGGGCCTCGCTTGTGTTAGTGCATTGGCTGCCTCATCTCTGTTGGTCCTCAGGCTTCCCAGACTGTAACAAAACGTTTTCTACTGACACCATAAACTGCATGACTGCTGCTCCGCGCAGCGAAGTCTCTGTGCCCGCCCGGGGCAGCAGGAGGTTTCTGTACTATAGTCTTGCACTCTAAATTTTAGACTTTTTAAGCAGGTGAAAAATAGAACTTTATTTTTAAATGAGGCACTTGTTCTGGGAATTCCTTTCTCGGCCCCCGTCTGGTTGGGGCTGTGGGACAGCGCTGAGGTGTGTGGGAGGGCACAGGACTGCTCCCACGCCTCGCTTTTCTTCGCAGGCACCAGAGAGGGGCAGGGGCGGCGGAAACCGCCCGGGAGACGGTTGCCAGAGGTGTGCCCGTGGTTTATTTGAAATAAATTGTGACTTTCTAACTTCGGCAGTGTCCCGGCTGTTCTTATCGGTGCACGGGGAGGTGGGGGGGGGCTCGCGTCGCTGTCCCCGCCCCGCTGTCCCCGCCCCGCGGTGACGCAGCCCCGCCGCGCCGTTGCCGTGGTGACGCGGGGCCGGCCGGGCCGGGGCGATGGCGGCGGCGGAGGCGCGGGCCGAGGGGCCCCCGCTGCCCGGCCCGCCGGGGGGCCGCCCGCGGCCCGTCTGCTCCCGGCCCTACTTCCTCGTCCTCATGGTCTTCGCGCACCTCTACGTCCTCAACGTCCTGGGGCTGCTGCTCTTCGTGCACCTCAGCGCCGGCGAGCCCGGCGGGCCGCCCGCCGCCCCCCCGCCGCCGCCGCCGCCGCCCGCCCGCGCCCTCCCGCGCCTCGAGGGCATCAAGGCAAGGCCGCGACCGGGGGCCGGGACCGGGGCCGCCGAGCGCCGGGCGCTGACCGCTGCTCTCCCCGCAGGTGGGCCACACGCAGCGGGTGGAGCTGGTGCCCGGCAGGGCCCACGCCGTGCGCACCCTCAGCCTCAAGCCGCTCCTGTTCGGTGAGTACCGGCCCCGCCGGGGCAGCGCTGCCGGACCCGGGCACGCCGGTACCGGGGGTTTCCGCCCTGCCGGCGGGGCGGGGGCTGCGTGCGTGTCTGACACCGCCGCTGCCTTACACCCACCCGGGGGAACATGACTCCCCGCGTGTCGGCATCACCGCCCGGGGCTGCTGCTCCTCGGGGCTGCGCTAAACAGAGTGTGGTATCCTTCAAGGTATGTTAATATTGATGCAAAATTGGCAGAGGTTACGTGTTCTGGATGGCCCACTTTGAAGAATTTGGAAGATTAACCTTTCCAGGTTTTTCAGGTTTCTGTAAAATACTACGAATAGGCAGCAGATCGCTGGCAAGAACTTTGAAGAAGCTGCTCAATACAAGGAAAGGACAAACTTTTGTTAATAAATTATTAAAACAATTTAGTATTGATGCTTCAGCACTGAGGAAATTTGATAGATTTAAATTCTTCCACCATTTTGTGTCCTGTTCTAGATTTATCTCTATTTTTGGCTTCTCTGATACACAACCACACAACATCTGCCTTTCAGATATTTTTAAATCTTCTTTACCTTTCTGTGATGCTTTGCTGTCACTGGTCAAGTCTCACTAATTGAACTCTGTGTTCTGGAAAGTCACTGACAACATGCTAAATAATTTGAGGGGGAGGAGTCAATCATTACAAAATTCCTACTATTGCAAAGTCAGAGAAAACCTGTTATTTCTGAAAAGAGCATAGAGAATCTTTCAGGTGCTTTCTCAATAAAATAAATAGAGGGATTTTTTCTGATTCTAAATCAATCATACACACTGAAAACCTCACCATGAATTTCTTAGTGGATTTCTGTCTGACATTCACGAAACAGACACACCAACCTGGAGCTGATAACCCCACAGCATCACAAAACTGGTGTCATTACCAGAACCACAGTCTGAGGCAATTGCTCTGGTTTTCACTCAGCATAACTCCTGTTTCCTCTTTCCCTGCCTTTCCAGTACCACTGAAGTGAGACAGTTGGTCCTGGCTCCCAAGGAAGGTGCTGAAGATGATAAAAGGCAGGTTTGTTCTAGCAGCAGTAATCCTGCAGTTTTTAGCTTCTTGTTCCAGCACCTCCATTGGTTTTGAGGGATGCTTTGCTCCCTGAGGATGCCATCACAGACAGTGACAGACATTCTCCATTTGAGATGCCATGAGTCTGTTCTCCTTTGTCCTCTGATAAGGAGTCCCTTATTTAGAAACTGCAAGTTGCAAGACAATTCTTATCTCCTGGATGAACCTGCCAGGAGCCAGCTCTGGCTTTAAAAGACTTCCAGAGACTTCTCTATCTATGCAAGCAGTACCAATGTCATTCAAGTAGTTTAAAAAAACTAATTCATTGTATCTCTGTTACTTAAATTAGTAGAAGTGTGTCTTTAATTTGGTTGTGTTTGGTGATTGCAGAAACCATTAGCAAAGACTCTTGAGTTTCTGGGGATTTAACACAAAATGCTGCAGCGTACAAGAGCCAATTTAAGCAAACAGGAAAGTGCCTGATCTGTCATCTTAGCTTTCAGCAGAGCAGGCTGCAGTGGGACCACAGCAGCAGACACTCAGGAATGATTTAATGTGTTCTCTGGGCTTCAGAGCATGGGCTGGGCACCGTAGGGGAACTTTAGGTTTGGTTTTTAGTGGTGGGTAAGTCACATCTGCATGGAACCCAAGCATATTTTATAGAGCTATGAAAAAATCCCTGCCCTATTTTCCTCCCTCTGGCTACAAGGCATCGTTTCTAAAGCTTGTAAATCAGACCATCTGTGCAGTTTTCAGTTGGGAAACTCTCGTAATCAAATAACCCTACTAATGGAAAACAAATCAGACAAAGCCTTTTCAACCTTCAGAGCTTTTATGTGTTTTGTTTTCCAAACGCAGTCTGTTCAGAAGATACTGCCGTTGCAGGGACCACCTGACAGCAGAATCAGTGGATTGGGCAGCAGTTTCTAAGACAAGACAGTGGAGAGGAATAAAAATAGGAAATTTGACTGTGTTTTTCTTCTGAGCCTCGGGGAAGAGGAGTAAGCACTGCACAAATATCAGGGCGCAGCTGAATTGCACTGTGTGTGTCTGAGCACTCATTCCAGCCCGCACCAGTGAGAGGAGGAGCCCTCAGGGTTGCTGGTGTGCCCTGTGAACACAGGGACAATGTGTGTGTGTGCCCTGTGAACACGGGGACAGTGTGTGTGTGTGCCCTGTGAACACAGGGACAATGTGTGTGTGTGCCTGTGAACACGGGGACAGTGTGTGTGTGTGCCTGTGAACATGGGGACAGTGTGTGTGTGTGTCCTGTGAACACGGGGACAGTGTGTGTGTGTGCCTGTGAACATGGGGACAGTGTGTGTGTGTGCTCTGTGAACACGGGGACAGTGTGTGTGTGTGCCCTGTGAACACAGGGACAATGTGTGTGTGTGCCTGTGAACACGGGGACAGTGTGTGTGTGTGCCTGTGAACATGGGGACAATGTGTGTGTGTGCCTGTGAACATGGGGACAGTGTGTGTGTGTGCCCTGTGAACACGGGGACAATGTGTGTGTGTGTGCCCTGTGAACACGGGGAGGCGATGTGTCCCCAGCAGACCGATGTGTCCCCAAGCAGACTGGCTGTCTCTGCACAGCGTCACCAGCAGGGCAGAAAGCATTCCTCCCAAAGGCTGGTTTTTCCACTTGTTTTGGTTTTTTATTTCAGCCATTGGTTTCAACCAATATAGAAAACTTTCCATGGACGGTGCTTTGTTAGGCTGTAGAAATCCCACTTGTTTCCTCATTTGGGGGTTTGCTGTTTTCTGCTCTGTGGTCTGGAGCACAGTGTGTGCCCCTGCAGGGAGTGACAGTCCTGCTTGAGTGAGATAGCTGCAGAGAGACTGAGTTTTCCCATATTTTTCCCATATTTTCTATCTTCCTTATGTACAGATGGAAGGCCAGGCAGCTGTGAAAGGTTTCTCCCCTGCTCCCATATCAAAACTGCAATATCCTACTGTGCTTGGGCTGGAAATCACCTCCCAATCCCGAGCAAAGCTGCTGTTCACACCAGAGCAGAGCTTTGAACAGCTGATGTCTCACTCGTGCTCTGCTTTTCTCAAGGTTCTTGTGATATCCCCAGTTACCAGAATCTTCTGATCCACACTGAATTTCTGATGTTGAAAAACAGTTTTTTTCCTGTTATGTAGAAACTCTCAGCTGTCTGCTCTGTGCCTTTCCTGCTTGAGAATGATTGTTTCTTTTTGCTTGTGTGGGTGCTCATCTGCTCTCAGTGCAGGAAGCTGAAGGGACAGCCTGACTCAAGAGCAGAGTTCAGCATGCAGTTTTTAAAGGGCTGGGCATAGCCAGGGTGGGTTCCTCTCCCCATTAATTTACCTCAGACTGTTCAAGAGTAAAATATTTGCTCCATTACATAACAAAGTATCATTTCACAGTCAGGGACACTTTCATGTAATCTCTGGACAGAAAATAAGCAGGCACTTGGACAGCATCAATGTCTCGGGGTCAAATAATGAATCTGAATAATGAGAACTAGATAATGAGAACTAGAAGGAACTGTTATTAAAGGTTTCTTCTAGTTTGTCCTCACCTGCATAGTTTTGTTGTGATGTTGGATCCTATGCAAAGCTGAACATAGCACATCCTGGATCTACAGAGCATTGTGAGAGGAACATGTTAAACCTGCATCCTTAAGCTCTGTCTTGGTAAAACAGGGATCTAGTGAAGCCCTATCTGTGCACTATGACTGCTTCAAATCACCTAGAAATATCACTGTACATCTCCAAAACACCACCTGCCAGGGAAAGGAGTTTTCTAGCCATAGGGAGGGGAGCAGTTTCTTGTTGCTGTAGCTGAGCTTTTTCAGACCTTCCATCCCACCTGTTCGGGGCAGCGGTGATGCTTCCACCTCCTCACTGCCTGGTGCAGGTTCCTGTTCCTCTTCTGCCAGGCATAGGCCTTGTTCACCACCACTTTGTCACTCTGCACGTCACCACTGACAACGAAGACCCCTGCCTGGGTGCCTCGCATGATGTTGTGGGCGCAGGTGGCATCTATGTCCAGCCACTGCTGGAGCCTGGCAGGGATTTCAGTTCTGAGCAGCGGGCCGTGCTTCAGCACCTCCACTTTGGAGGGGTCCAGGTCGAAGTCTGAGATGGTGGTGGTGGTGTTCCTCCTCAGGATTCGGATTTTCACTGCTGCAGGGGTTGGAAAAAGAGCTGTGAGTTCTGTTTACTCTTCATAGCTCTCTCCTACTTCAAGACATGGAGCCAGCCCAAGGCTTCTCTGCTGTCTCTGTAGTGTGGGGAAGTATCTGTCCAAGCTTTTCCAATTGCAGTGAACTTCTAAAAGTTCTCATTTGAGGTTAGTCTCCAGTGCTGAACACTGTTCTTAGAATCACAGAATTATTTAGGTTGGAAAGTACCTCAGAGATCAAGTTCAACCACTGACCCAGCACTGCCCAGTTCACCACTAAACCATGTCCTCAAGTGCCCACAACCACATGTCTTTCAAATACCTTCAGGGGTGGTGACTCAAGCCCTTCCCTGGGCAGCCTGTTCCAATGCTTGATAATTTGTTTGGTGAAGAAATTTTTCCTATTACCCAATCTGAACCTCTCCATTGCAACTTGAAGCAGTTTCCTCTTGTTACTTGGGAGAAAAGGCCTCCTTCTCCTTCTCAATCCATGTCCCTTCTAAGAGCAGCAAAGGTGTATCAGTGGCAAAGATATACCACTGCAGAAACCCTGGAGGAATCATGGGCACAAGCAAGCAGATGCATCAGTCCTGGTCTTGTGCAAATTACTTTTCTCTGAGCAGGGATTTCAGGAAGTTACATGACTGACAGCTGCTCAGGATTTGTAACCTTTCTTACTGAAAAATATCTTTATTTTTCTGTATGTGTGCCTGAATTCAGGACAGTATCTTGAAAACTTTCTGCCATGTGATTGAGCAGCACCAGTGCTGCTGCTTGCTTGGGCTAGGAGCGGGAGAGTCACAATGCTAGAACAACACTATTAAAGTTTGAAATAGCTGGCATGGAATTTGCTAAAGATTCTTATAGGCATTGATTGAAATGTTTGTCTGCAAGGGAAAACCAGAGTACTGCTTGTTTTTAGCACTCACAGACCAAAACCAAACCAGAGCCCACAGAAATAAATCAGATCTTCACTTTCAGTGCTGCCAGGAGCTGGGTCCTCCTGGAACCTCACAGGTAAGGTGGATACTGAAAATCCCTGGGATCTGCTGTAAAAGTTGCAGTTTCTCCAAGTCAGTGTGTTATGGCAAAGCTATTTTCTGTCCATGGCACTGCTTGGCTGCTGGAGGGAGTGGTGGCAGTTGAGAGAAAAAGGAGTGTACTCACCAAAATCATTTGCACAGAGGCTTTCCAGGATCTCCCTGGCAGTGCTGGCCTCCTCAAGCTCACAGTCCTGGCAGCTGGCTCGGGGCACTGCTGCAACACAAATGAGGTTATAACACCCTTGTCAAGCTTCACTGGAAAAGGCACAATGAAATTTTGGGATCTGCAAGTGGTGGCTTGCTGTTTCTTAGTGATGCTTCTTCCTGAGCTACCCAGGCCCTGGAGAGGTACCTCAGACAGGCAAGGTGGGAAATGTTAGACTCTCCTTCCTGTGAAGGCAAACACTGCTTGTCAGTGCTTTGTTCAGGCTTGTGTGTGTTGCTACATGTTAAAGCAGCAGTGAAAATGCGTAGTGAAGATCTCCTAATTTGGATGAAACAGCAAAACCAGTGGTATGGCCGGACTCCATCCAGTGATGCTGAAATGATGTTGAAATGTCTGTTCTCCCCTTAACTGCTCTTGAATCTCCCCCAGTGTTCATCAGGATCTGGGTGTTAATTGAGTCCTTCAGACAGACTTTTTTCCAGTGTAACTCATGTCTGCAGAGGCTCATGTCCCTTCATGGTGTTTCCAATGTTTAGAGAGAAGGCTTACAATTTCTTTTTGCATGCTTTTAAGCCCTAGACATAGCTGAAAGATCTGGGCTGCAGCTCCATAGCTGCACTGGAAGCACATCTCACTCACTGCTGGGAGTCTGCACTCCATGAGCTCTCCCACTGTGCCTGGGCTGGAGGCTTTGCAGCCTTTCCTCCCCCCTGCCCCAAACCCTGCGGGGTCTGATGGCACCCAGGGAGAGAATGAATAGAGCAGAGAGAGGAACAAGCCACAGCCAATGTTATGCTAATTTTCTATACACGGTTCCCAGAGAGAACAAAACTAGAATCTGTATTTTTTTTTAAATACAGCTTAAAACCAGAAATATGCAGAATAGAAACAAATATGCAGAATAGAAACAAGTCATAGGATCATCCTTTTGAGCTTTCAGTGTTATATATGGGAAAATACATGAAGCAAAAAACCTCTTACTTCTCCTGCTTGAGGAATTTTCATCCACGGACACTGCTGCAATGCACAGCTCATGGTCTGCAGGGAACTTGTTGCAGTTGAGGATTTCGGGCCAGGGGTAGCCGTAACAAGCCATGACGGGCGCGCAGCTTCTCTTGACGGCCTCGCAGAGGCTGCGGCAGGGGAAGATGAGCCTGGGGAGGGGATGGCATTCGGATGAGCCTGGGGAGGGGATGGGCATTCAGGTGAGCCTGGGGAGGGGATGGGCATTCAGGTGAGCCTGGGGAGGGGATGGGCATTCAGCGCCTCCGTGTGCCTGCCCGGGGGCTGAGGGTCGAGCCCTAACACCGCTGCTGCTGCACAGGGCTGTGAGAAGGGTTAGCAGGCAGTGTGGGGATCTTTGACTTTTTTTTTTTTTTTTGAACATTCATGTCCAGGAGGCAAGCAAGGAATTTTTGAGGACAAGAGGGATAGGGCAAGCTGCCAGGAGCCCTCCACCTTATGGGTCTTCTCTAGTTGTGCAAAGACTGCTTATCTTTAAAGGCACCTGATTAAACACCAAATTTCCTTAGCAGCTCTGTACTTTGAGAGCTGTACCTCAAAACTGGGGATTTCTTTCTGCTGCTGGAACTGTTGGGAAACTGAGAACCATATGTTCAGGGCAGGAGCTGGGGTGAGGGGCTGCACAGGAGATGGGAGGTGGAGCTGGTGTGTGCCAGCAGCCACTGCAGTGTATGAGGGGCTGGCCAGGGCATATGGCAGCAGTGCCTGGGGTGAGAGAGCAGAACCCAAGGAGGGAACATATTTCTGCTCCTGTGATGTGAAATGCTCATGTTTTGCTTTCAGAAGGATGATCCCTGCTGAGTAATCCAATTGTCCCTTGCCGAGAGCAGCAGCACTGCTTGTTGGGGACTGCACAGATCACATCGAATGCATTTTCTCTCGGGAGGCACACGGAGTCGTGCTCCTGCAGGGAGTTACCTGTTACACTGAAATAACTCATAAAAGCATCTTACCTGTCCAAACAGATGGGTGCAAAGAGGGAGCAGAGGAAAATCCTAGCGTCTGGGTGGCACTCCCTGGCTAGCAGGGGCAGCCAGCTGGAAGACTGCTGGATGACTTCTGTCATGGTCTCATGCTCCAGCAGGTTGGGGATCCTCATGTCGGAGTAGCCGATGTCATAGCAGAGGGCCATGCTCTGGGGGATGGGCATGCAGCTGGAGGATCTCCTCAGGTAGCTCCCCCGGGCACCTGGAGAGCCCCAGAGCAGCAGGCGGGCCAGGACACCCAGCAGCCACGGGCCACCCAAGCTCCAGGGGTGCCTGCCAAGGGACCTGACCATGCTTGGAGCAAGTGAACCAACAGCACACCCTGCACTGAGCTGCTCCTGCCTGTGGAATGCCTTTTATAGCCTACCAGCCACCTCTTTGTCAATCCATCCTCATTAAGTGCGGCCCTTTCAGAGCCCTCATGGGGAAGACAATGCTCCAATTTTCATTTGCCAGAGGCCCCGATTGTTTGTATTTTAGCAGGGGTTTGGCTTAGATCAGCAGGTGTGGAAATGAGGGCAGTTGGGGAGGGGTGAATGACTTGGCCCATGTGTCTTGGGGCTCTTTCAGCCAAGATTGAATCTCTGTTTGACACCAGTGCTCCAACCCATCCCCTTTCTCTTGCTCCAGGATTAGTCATTATTTCATAAACCGTAATGTTTTCCTCTCTTTTGTTTTTTGTAAAAGCAATCAAGTGTTGCTTAAAGTCAATTAGGAGGCATTTGTTTAGCTGGATCTATTGTTGAGCAGGCAGGGAGATAGGATGGTCTCACAGCCACAAGTTAACTGTTTGGGAGAGCTGGGGGCAGAGAGGAACTAATTTGCAGCTGTGGAGCCAAGTTGTTTGCAGACAGATTTGGCAGCACTCAGCTGGAAACCCCCTCACCTTGCAAGCTGCATGACCACACACTTTCCAGTTAACAGAATTCCTGCTTCATTCTGAAATCCCCTTACTGCCACTGAAGAATGGAGTTGTCCTTCCTCCAGCATGTAATTAAGGTTCTGTCAGCCATCATTATTGTAGCCCAGTTTGGGGAACCTGAAATACTGGGGGTGTTGGTTGCCAGTGCACATGGTTCATGTGGACCTGGTGCTGTGCCATGAGGTTCAAACTGGTCAGTAGAAGCTCCAGCTCTGAAGCATCCTCTGGCACAAGGACCCTGTGCTGCCTGTGGCAGAAATTGTTTCCTTGGAGTGTGTTATGGATACAGCTGGCTGCATTGTGTTCCTGGGGCTTCCCAGGAACAGCTCATTTTCTACAGGGCTGGTTCTGGTCTGTGCTTAGCAGGAAGCCAACTGCTTATTGACAGCTTGAGCCGATAGGGTTGATTTCAGGTCATGAAAGTAATTAATTTTCCCCTCCATTTGAGGACTGCTGCTGTAGTTGATCTATAACATGTCCTTGGCACATACCTGCAGGAGCTCTAGGGAGCTGCAATTTGGAGAGCAGGACCTTGGGTCTAGGAGCACTTAACCTGTCCTGTATGGGTGGTTTTCCTTTCCCTTTTCAAAAGTCTCAGCAGCTCATACCAGGGTCACCATAGCTGTGACAGACAGCAGCCAGGAGGATCCTCTGAACCTCCTGGGCCACAGTGTAACTGTGCTCTGGAATGGGACCTTGCCAGTGCTGTCCAAGTGCATGCCCAGTGTACCAAGCAGCTAGAAGTCTCCTAGCCTCATGGCCGTCAGTGGATTTTTCTGCACTTTAATTTGCTTGGGATTGTGGAATTGCCAGTTCGCTGCTGGGTTTGTGCTGCAAAGGAAAGCTGGAGATACCTGGGTATGGAGTTTGGCATCATCCACATTCAGTATTTTCCTCTTTAACATTGCATTTGAAGACCATTTTTAGTGGGAGACTCAAGAGAATGAGTGGGAGTAAGTTAGAATTTTTCCCCTTTCTGTTTGAGTTGTATAATAGAGCACTGTGCCATGTTCCCCTGAAAGGGATTTGGTTTTGTGCAAAGTGCCTTCCTCCCCACATGAGAGCGAGGAAGTCTGGAACCCTGGCCATCACCACCGCCCACTGTAATGATTTTTGGCCTCCCTTCCTGTAAAGCAGCAGTTCCCAGACTGTGATCCACATGGCACCTTTGAAATGGTAATATGCAGAGATATGCAGGTGTTTGTTCACTCCTTTGTCCATTGTGGTATCTGTGAGAGAGTTTAAGGGCTTGACCCCAGGATCCAAGCATTCAGGAACTGCTGCTATAAAAATACTTGCCTCCAGCAGCTCAGGTGTGTGGTGTATGCTCTTTGAGAGCCCTTTTGCTAGAAGGGTGGATGTTTTTAAAAGTCCCAAACTTAGTTCCTAAATTTTCCCCCTACCTATTTTGATTTGTTTCCTGAGAGTCCTGCTACCAGCATGGGATCCCACTGTAACAGTTCCTCAGTCTCTGTTCCTGCTCACACTTTTGCTGCAGAAATCCCTGACTTCCTGACAGAGGAGGAGTGCAAGCTCATTGTCCATCTGGCAAAGCTAAAGGGACTACAGAAGAGCCAGATTCTACCAACAGAGGACTATGAGGAAGCCATGGAAATGATTGAAATCAGCCAGATGGACATTTTCAATCTGCTGGATCACAATCAGGACGGGCAGCTGCAGCTCAAAGAGGTAGAGTGTGGGCAGACTGGGGAAGGTGTGCTGGAGACCCTCTGGCACATCCCCTCATCAGATGCTCTCTTGGTTACTCATGTGCTTGGGTGGGGCCAGAGCCCAGAATGTACCAATCACAATTTGCTTCATTTTAATGCCTCAGAATTTGTGCTGGCCTTCAGAATGGAAGTTTCTGGGCAATGTGCAGCAGCTGTCATGCTATTGGGAGGCAGCAACAGTCCTTGGCAGGACATGTGTGATGTGAATATGCTGGATAAAATGTTCCTGTGCTGTGGGTTGTTGCCTCTTGCTGTGTGTGTCCTGGGAAGTGAGTTTGTCACGCAGGCTGCTTTGTGGGGAACTCACTGTGTGAATTCACAAGCCCCAGCAAAGCCACCCCTATAGATGAGCCAAGGACAATAATAAGCCTCCTGTCCACAGCTCTTCAGCACCCTTGCCCTGTATGGCAGGATGCATCAGGGCAGGTACTGACAGTTCAAGCGTGTCCCTCCTCAGGCTCCCATTCCAGGTGAAGCTGGGAGTCTGAACCATCCTGTGCACCATGAGTGCTGTGGAGTATGGGGAGCTGTGCCAGTGACAGCCCAGGGCAAGGCTCCTTTCTCTCAAGGTCAGAGCCTGCTGAGAGCTGTTCAGGCTTCTGTATCTCTCTGTACATGTTGAAGGGAAGAATTTTGTTCCAAGCCCTTACCTTGGACAAGTAAAAGCATTCACTCATCAATATTATCATCAATAGCTTTACTTTCCCTTCAAGAGAAGGCTGTGCTCTCTCCACCCCAGGGCTGGTTAACCAAGTTCCAGCAGTCATTTGCCATGACCTAAACTGGAAATAACAGCACTCATCAGCAACACTTTCTGCCAGATGATTCTCACTGCAATCGTCTTTCTGCAGAAATGTGCTGATGCCTGTCTGGCTGATGTGCTGTGGAAGAGATCCCACCAGGCCTCCCACAGGGAATCTGTAGGGTCTCAGGAGTGCAAGAAACCAGTGGGTTTTTTTGATCCATTTATGAATTTCAGGTGTTGACCCATACCCGACTTGGAAACGGCAGGTGGATGACCCCTGAGAACATCCGGGAGATGTACACAGCAGTCAAAGCTGATCCTGATGGGAATGGTAAGAGCAGCTCCGTGGGAATCCCTTCACCCTCAGCACCTTGGACACCTTGCACAGCCATATGGGGGAGAGCAAGACCTGTGTCCCTGCCCAGGCCTTTTTTTCTGGCTGAATTCTTTGAAGGGAAGTAGCCCTGCCCTAGACACCTTCTCAGGGAAGTACATGCAGGGTAACCCCCTTACTGCAGCACTCCTGCATCACCACTCTAGTGGCTAACTGGTCCCACTGCCTGGGCTTGGATCTTGCTGGAGCAGGACCAGACCACAACTCTGCACTCCCTTTCCCCTGTCAGACCTGCCTTGGTTCATGCCCTGCTGTAACAGGATCTTAGGATCTTCTGATACAGAGCTTTTGTTACCTGGAATGCAGGTGTTCAGACACACATTGTATGCTCCCCCGTTTTCAGGGAGACTTTCACAGCAGGCCAAGAGGCCCATGTCACTGTGAGGGGAGAGTGGAATAAGTGGAGCTGGGGGTGATCTTGTCTGTCAGCCTTTGGGGCTGGCCCCCCTTTCTGCCACTGCAACCTCTCTGTATTCCATGAGGCCACTTCTGCCCCTCCTGCCCCCGGCCTCCCAAGGGCTCCTGCTGGTCCGGACATACACTCTAACCTCTGCTGCTCTAATTAGAGTGGCCTCAATTAAGCAGCACTCCATTTCCTAATCAAATTAAGTGAATGCACAGTCTCTTCCAGTGACCTGGCATTGAGAGCTGCCCAGGAGGAGCTGCTTTGGAGTTGAAGCAGTAGCAGTGTGAAAGCATAAATATCCGGAGGGCACCCTGTGCAACTCTCCTCCAGGCTGGTGGCATTCTTGGCATGGGTCTGACTGAGTCCTCAGTGGCTTTTCCACCATTCTGGACATTAACAAATGAAAGGTCCTGTTAAAGGGCTATTGGCAGGACCTTGCTTCCAGTGTGCTGCTTCCCTCTGTTGTTAGATTGGTACATGACACTGAGAGACCAGGTCACAACCTGGATGTGGCACTGCATCATCAAAGACTGTGGGGAGTCAGGGGAAGTGCAGACAGTGAGACACTAGGAATAATGACAGTGGATCGTTTGGTCATGACCTGAGGATGTGGCACATGAGGAACTGTCCCTGACTTACCCTTGTGGCTGGTCCTTCCTCCTGCCAGGGGGTGCTCATGGCCAGGGAGCAGAGCTGGCACCCAGCAGCACTGGGTTTGCTGCCTGAGTGAGCTCCTCTCCCAGCCCATGGTGTGTGCAGCCAGCCCAGGGCAGTGCACTGCTTGCTGCTATCAGGGACCTGTGCAAGGCTTCCCTTCTCCAGAAGGAGGAAACAACAAACGTGAGGATTTTCCTGAAGCTGAGAAAGAGTCCACCTCTTGCTGATTCCAGCTGAGTGCAAACAAGAAATACCTGTTTCAGGAGAAACTGCTTTATACCTCTTGCTTTTCTGTTATTTCTATTTACGCAAGACCATACTGTCATGCATTCCTCATTTATGTTTTGCAGTTACACAAATGCAAGAGAATGTACTGCTTGTTTTGGGTTTGGGTTTTTCTTAATTACCCTGCAAGATCATATAGAAAATGTGGTCTGAGGTCCCACTCTGTCCTTAAACATGTTGATTTAAATATCTAAATAATAAGCCTTGAGACATTGGGTAGCACGGATTATCTTGCGCATATCAGAACTGTAGTGTCTGTTTCTCTCTTTTGATATATTGATTTGTGGGTTTCAGGCGCTTTTTTAAGTTTAAAACGGTGTTTTGCCTGTCCCAGTTCTGACCCTGCACAGTTCACTGTGGCAGGTTGCTCTGTGTCCCCTGCTGCAGGCAGGAGCACTGCTGTAGCCCATGATCAGGGGCAGGAGGGGGGCAGCCTGTGCCGCACAGTGAGCCCTGACTGGGTCTGTGTGAGGAAGGCAGTTTCTGCAGTGCCCTCAGCTGGTGGTTCTCCGAGTACAGGATGCAAGAACTGTTACCTGCACCAGAGTCAGGTGGCCTTTCCTGTGTTCCCATAGGTGTGCTAAGTTTGGAGGAGTTCAAGCAGTTGAATATCCGTGATTTCCACAAGTACATGGGAAGCCAGAAAGTGAAGATGAGCGACTTGGTGCGCAACAGCCAGCACACCTGGCTGTACCAGGGCGAGGGGGCACACCAGGTCATGAGAGCCATTCGGCAAAGGTAAGGGCCGGGGAGCTGAGGGGAGGCTGGGTTTGGGTAGGCACAAGCATCACCTGTGTGCTGGGAGAGGCAGTGGCAGTTGCTAATATTCACACTTCCTAATTGTGTGAAAAGTCCTTGGAGTATAAAGAGCAATGAACACAGACACAAAATGGAGAGAGGAGGTTTTCATTAGAAGAAGAATTTGCATTGTCCTGTGGAAAGGGAAAAAGAAAAAATCGAGCCTTTCAGCATCTCCATTCACTTTTGGGAACAGCCCTATAAAACCAGGGAGATTTGGCAGTATATGAAATCATTCATTCTAATTAGTAACTGAGCTTACTGGGAGAAACTGCCCGGTTCCAATGCTGTCTGGGTGCCAGCAGTTACTGTCATTTGCTTTAGTTACTCATGCATTTCACTGAAATCTGTCTTTGCTGTTCAGAGCTGACTTTTTAAAAAGCACGACTTCACCTTAAATTAGTCAAGGTAGTTTAATCCTCCAAGCACACATATTGTAGGGCAGATGGGAGAACCTCTTACCTTTCCCTTCATCTCAGATTTGGTACTGGGAAGAGCTGAAGCCCAGCACAAAGGCCAGATCATGTAGCTGTAGTGAGTTTCAGATAATTGGCTGAAGACTCACTTGTTCTTGTGGTGCTGGTCCTCACCCAGAGCGTGGGTGGGTAAAATCTGTCCTGAGGCCTGAAAAACAGCTGTTGGCCTCTCCTTTTCTTCAGTGCATTCCAGTGGGAAAATGGGGTCACATATTGCCTTGATTAGAGCAGACTGTGGCTGTCACCTTCTCTGTGCCAGCTAGCCAGCACACACAGGCATCGGCATTCTGCTCGCACGCTCTGCAGTTGGCCACTGTCAGGAGGATGTGGAGGAGGTTGTTGGTCCTCCTGGGACCAGGCAGCGCCTGCAGGGGCTTTGCCATCCTGCCCAGGTGCCACATTGTCCTTGCACCTGCCCCAAGGGCTTCACCAGTCCGGATTCTCAGAGCTCTGAGTGTTCTTTGGCAGGTCTCAAGACGTACCTGCTTGCCTTGGGGATGATCTCAGATGTAGCAGTGGAAAAATCCCAGAGCAGGAGGGCTCCGGTCTCCTTGATCACTTCCAGTGCCCCTCTGCCCTGGGGGAGGCTGCTGCAAAGGCAACAGGGAAAGGTGAGTTAGGTGACAAGACTGTTCCTAGAGCTAGTCTCTCGTTCACTCTCAGCAGGAGTCCTGTGCTTTGCTGACTGTCCCTGAGGTCTGTAGGTGGTGTGCAGGAGTCCAGAGAAGTGATGAGATGGCACATGAAGGCTCCAGGGACATGCACAGAAGGGATCTTGCTGAGCAAGCAAAGTCTTCCTGAGAGCAGTCCTGCTAGACATGCTGCCTTCAGTTTTGTTTTGGTTTTTTATTAACCTTGATGAGGGTTTTCTGAGCCGATGCTGATGGTCCAACAGATGAGTAAGGACCTGGCTGTCTCTTGGCATGCTCGCTGCAGCCCATCCGTCTCTCCGGTCTTTTGGGAAGGGGGTTCTCTTTCTCTGGGTTTATTCACTGCTTGGG